GCAGGAGCAGGGCCCTACCCTCCTAGGTGTTCTGAATGAGGGAACAGGTAAGCTGGAAGAAGGAACTCACACATTCAGCCTTTACTCCCAGCCACGTTGTGGCTCTGGGGAGCCTCTTGGAGACATGGCCATGACCTTTCTTTGTCTTTAGGACATCTTCATTGGATGCCCAAGACTCCTTCACTAATGGGAGCAAGTAGTTTTAACACAAAACTAAATGTCTCCTACTGCTTTTCAGCTCACTTCTAACAGGAGATGCCAGTGAAGGCTCAGAATTTAAGAGACAAAGTAGTCACTTCAGAAAATCCATCAGAATGTCTTTAAAAATAAACCAACTGCTATCACTAGAAATAGTTACAGCCAAGGGCCCTGTGTCCATAACATTTTTTTCTTTGTGTAACAGAATTTCTTTATGCAACACGTTCTAATTTGCGTGTTCTGTCTCCTGCTCACCAGCAGACTTTCAGACTTTAAATTATCTCATGGTTTTTCTTTTAGTTTAAATTCAGATAGTAGGATAGCTCCTGTAGATGAGGCTTTAAATAATTGCTACATGCCCTTGTCCCAATGAGGACCTTACACGCAAATGTGTGTTTTTAGGGGACTCTTTGTTTTTGGAACCCAAACCCACAGAGTTTGTGGAAGGACATCTGCATCGTTTCAGTGTTTTTATTTATTATGCTGCAAGCTGCTTGTTTATTCTCCTCTTTTCCCTTCCTCCTTCTGTCCTCCTCTCATGAGAGGGTTAATGCTGCATTGTGGAATTAGTGCAATTTGTTCTAAGACATGGCAAAGGCCCCATCAAAGTAGTCGATAGTCAAGTTCTAGCAATGAGAGTGATTCCTTCAGAGCCTCTCTTGATTCTCTTTAGGGATTTTCTGTGGCATTTAAAAGGAAAGTGAAATATGGGTTTTAAAAAACGATAAAAACAGTCTTTCCAGTTGATATCATAATGAGAGGTATAAGCCATTGCTGGGATACATTGGAAGGTGCTCGCTTTGTACTCCTGAAAAACCTATAATCAGATGGTCACTGTCTTGAATTGTTAAAATACTGTTACCTGCAGTTTTTAGAAATTTATTTTGATATTTAAGGACATCTAAGGATGTATATTTAATTACTGCTGCTTTCTTTTCATTTGAATGAAAAGTGGTGGATTATATAACAGTTGCCACTAAGGTATAGTTTTCTTAAACATGAGTTTCATGGATGTTCAAAATTTTGTTTCTGAATGTGTAATACAGATTAATAACGTAAGTCATTACTCTTAGATCTTGGGCAGTCAGAATAATTTGAATTTTGAGGGGCAGCTTTAACAGCTTCCCACTTAGGATGTCCTAGAAAATGAGGGCTTGATTACAGCAAGGTTTTGTGTGTATGGCTTGTTTTAACCCAAATTCGCAGGCTGGAGCTATATCTCTGGCAGTGTTTAAAGTACTGTGGAGGTGAGTGGGTTGAGCCAACTCAACTTCTGAGGTTTAGGTTTCTTTTTTGCAGTGTTTGTTTTTCTTTCCCTTGCCTGCTTACTTGACCTTCTAAAGGGCAGAAAAGGAGAAAATATTGTTAGAGTACTGGGTGGGTGAAATGTAGGGTCCTGGAGAGCAAGGGTGTTATCTTTGCACTGTTTCACATAACGAGTGCTGGTGAAGGCTCCCTTATTGGTGATGAGGTTTGGGACTCCCTCGAGTACCCTGGCTGCTGCTATCTCGGCTTGCTGTGGGGGTAGAGCTGGTGTGAAACGGCCAGTTCTTTTTCTTTGTCAAGTCTACAGGTATTGAACCTTTCTACTTGCAAAGGGCCGTAGGAGTTGGTGGGTGGGGAGGGAAGGAAGATGCAAAAGCAATAATCGATCTGGTCAGTGCCTAAAGCAACCTGTAGTTGGGTTAGGAGACAGAGCACACACAGTGACTTGACCTGAATGTGCACGGTGCACTATCAAGTGAACAATGTGAGTTAAGCTGAAAGTGCCTATGGGGAGGGAACCAACCTGATGGATTTATCTGTAAGTGGATTTTCCATGGTGCCTTGACGATTTTAAGCAGTGGAAAGAAGAAAAGGAGGAGGTCGTGTCAGATTTAAATTATTTGGCCTATCAGATATCTTTGCTATAAATAGTTATAGTCTTAAGAAAGCCTTCTGCTTTTTTCTTTAAAAGTCATATTTAGGAGGAATATAATTGACAGATTGTGTTTTACATATTTTATAGGTAATTTTGTATCTAATTAAAAATTACTGAAACAACATACTATGAGGATTGTAGTGTTTTCTCTATTACCAGCTTATTTATGGCTTTGTATCTTGTCAAGAGTACTATTTTTTTAAAAAAAGATTTGTATCTTGCTAGGTAATTAAACAATGTTTACAATTAATATATGTATATTTAAATAGAGACAGGGTCTCGCTGTGTAGCCCAGGCATTCTTGAACTCCTGGCCTCCAGCAGTCTTCCTGCCTCTGCCTCCCAAAGTGCTAAGATTACCGTTGTGAGCCACTGTGCCCAGCCCAATTAATACCATCTAAGGCATTGTCTGAGGAACTTTCATTTTTGTTTGTTGTGGGGCCAGACTTTGGGAAGAAAGTATGTTGGATAAGAATTTATCAGATAACCCATTTATTTATTTTTTTGGGATAGCATTTTCTTCCCCTGCTTTGGGATGTCTTTTGGTTACTCATTACTTGAAATTTGCCAAATTTAGGGCGGTGATGATTTTGGCCTAGTTAGAATTTCAAACACCACTTCTGTCTCGCCTAAAGTACAGTTGGAAAAACTTCTTCAAGGAGAAATTCTCAGCCCCTGAGTTCTTGGCAGGAATCGTGGCCCCCATCACAGTGTAGCCCCCCACATGGGTGAGGTCTTGATGTCCTGTGGCCAGGCTGCCCCAGGCTCCAGGAGCTTTCTGATTCCTCTGAGCTGTGTGGATTGGCTGACGTTCTCAGCAGCTGCAAAGTAACTGGTCTTATAAAGCAGAACCTGACAGGGTGGCTAATTCTTGACGTTTACAGGTGGAGAGGGAAGTGAACCTACTGAGGAAAAACCTAATCTGTTAAAAAAAATAAAAAAAACCAAAAAACCCGAAAGTCTGGATTGTATATGTCTCTGTCAGTATTCTGTAAGCACAGGGGAAAAATTCCTTCCTCACAGGGTTTGTGGATGCCAGTCATAGTTTACTGGTATGGGGCCATCTGTGGCAGCTCCCAAAGCCGTGCAAATTTATAAAGCAAGGCAGCCAAGGGGACTGGTGAAAATGAGTTTATAGCATGCATGGGGACCACTTAAAGGAGAAGGTGCTAGGTGTAAATGTCTAAGCCAGGATGGAACAATTAGGGCAGTTCAACTTTTATAATTAACATTAAACTCCCAACGGAACTTCTCTTTCACCCTACTTACCTTCCCTGGCCCAGCACATCTTATCCTTCACCTTTCCCTCAGGAAAAATAACTATGAAAGCAGTCTGTGAGGCCCTGTGTGGGTGTCTGGCCAGTTCCACTACTTCAAAGATTCTCTGTCTCAGTTATTTTTATTATAACCACAGTGTGTACTCTGGACTTTTGAAATTTGTAGCTACAACCATGCTATTAATCTTAACTTTAAAAACTAAATATTCACCCTCTCTACCTGGAGCTCACAGACAACCTAGTCCATGCAGGACATGATAGAATAGAAGCTACTCCTGAAGACTTTAGTCTTGGGGCATGTGAAGCCAAGGAGTTTATTGGCCCTTATTGAATTGATATTTGGAATCTCTAGAATTCTTTGAGTCTTGATAAGGGCCATGAGATCCCAATCTTGGATTAAGTTTTGAGAAGAATTCTATTGGAGATTTTCTGTGTTGCAGAAGAGAAGACCATTCAAGGGACTCCCAATTTTCTCATTCCCTGGAGAGTAAGTTCCCTCTTGTCATTTGAACTGGCAGATTTCTTTTGTGCCAAAAAGAGATAAAAAGACGTGGTATTTCCTACACCTCCCAACGTGATGGGGCTGCCAGGATGTAGGTTTGGGGAGAGCAGGGACCTCATGGGACACATGCAGGGAGAGATCTGTAGTCCCCTCGTGTTGGGAGGTGGTGGGGTTCTCCTGCTGGAGATGTTTCTGTCTGCAGTGAAAAACAAGGCATCCTTTCTGATGCTTTGTCTGGGGGTGGGGCACATGTGGCAAAATAATCTTTTTTCAGCTGTTAAATCTGAGTCTTTTACTTTGTGTCTTCTTTTTCTGGTATTTCACACAGGAACCAGGATGCTTGTAAGGCCTTGCCTTGGGGATATTTGCCTGGCAGGAAACTGAAGCTGTTTGAAGTTGAGGCTCCTCTCAGTTGTTTTGTAAAAAGTTGAAACCTACAGAAGAGAGAATGCTGTGTGTCCTGGTGTGGAGAGTGGTTTGTTTGTTTTGAGGGAAGAGGGAGAAAGTGAGCAGATTTCCCTGGCCCAGGAAGGGAGTCAAGATTAGTGGGTCCTGGGTTACAGGGGTTGCGGCCCAGTAAACCTTTTGGTGGCAGCATGGGGCAACAGAGGACACTGGCTACTTGGTGGGCCTGGGGAGGCTGGACTTTAGACACCGAGTTTCCTGCCTGGCAGAGGTTCAGGTGCCATAGAAGCACAGATATGCTGATTTTACGGGCCTGTGGGTGACCATGAGGATTTTGGCAGCAAGCACAAAAGGCTAGAGGCCCTTTGCTTTCTGTGACATCCCAGGAATAGCTCTGAGGGATCAGTTTCTACCATAGCCCTTGGAATCAGAATGAGTTTGATCTCAAGAGAAAAGTGGCCAGGCATGGTGGCTCATGCTTGTAATCCAAGCACTTTTGGAGGCTGAGGCGGGAGGATCATTTGAGGCCCAGGAGTTCAAGACCAGCTGGGCAACATAGTATGACCCAGTCTCCCTAAAAAAAAAAAAGAAAAAAAAATTAGCTGAGTATGGTGGTGCATGCCTGTAGTCCCAGCTACTTGGAAGGTTGAGACGGAGGATTGAGCCCAGGAATTCGAGGCTACAGTGGGCTGTGATAGCACCACTGCACTGCAATCTGGGCAACAGAGCAAGATCCTTGACTCAAAGAAAGAAAGAAAGTGTTGAGATCCAGACAGACTGAAAAGGATCTCTTATCTCAAAGGCCATGTTTTTCCTTCTATCCCTCCCATTTGCCTGCCCTCAGCAAGGTAGTTGCTTCTTGCATTTGGCATTACCCAAAGGTCTGTTAATGAACTTACCCTTGCCGTGTTGTGGTGTTTTCTCCCCTCTCCAGACTGCAAGCTACATGAGAGCAGAGCCCTTGCTTGTCTTATTCATCTTCATAGTCACAGCAGTTGCCTCCCAGTATGCAGTAAATCTTTGTTGAACAAATAAATGCACAGAGGAAAACTTTATTCTGCAACTTAAGGGAAGTTGAAGCTCTGAAATGAATGCCAGCCACTCAGAGACTGATAGAAGAAGAACTCTAGGAAAGAGGTCCCTCACTTTACCACATGGATCACAGGCAGGTGCGGTGCATACATTTTTCACATTCAGTCCATGTGACCCCCAAAACCCACCGACCAGCCCCTATCAAGGTGAGCAGTTCAGAGCTGGATTCAAAGAAGAGATGTTTTAAATTTTTCCCCTTAAATTTTAAGTATTATATGTTCAAATAATACATAGGAATTAGTTTCTAGACGTCTGGCGTTCTAGCTGGTCAGTTGTCACCCATTAGGCAGAACTGTCTGGAATAAGACGAGCTCAGGCTGGCTGGACATCTGGGGCAGGTGTCTCAGGGCTCCTGGTTCTCTTCCCCAGGGCCTTCTCAGAGTGCTGGTTGAGGAGGGTGAAGCCCAGAGCAGGCCTCTTTGGAGGTGAAGGGCTTCTCTTTTGGATTGACAAGTTCTGTAAAATCCCCAAGAAGCCAGGGTTTTGCTTTCTCAGGCTCCTGAGTGGCAGCTGGCAGGGACCTCTGTGTGAAGGGGCAGCTTAAGAGAGTGCCTGGACACTGCACACTCTATCTTCTGAATAGGCACACATTTCAAAATGTTTGCAAAAGCAAATTCTGGACAAGAAGAGTAAGACTTCCTTGCGTAAATAATAAGTGCTGCCCCTTTCTCTCCTTTTACTAATAAGTTTCCCTGATAGCACTGCTTGCTGGCAGCTCTTCTCTACATTTGGTTGCTGAATTGCAGTGCTCAATTATCTGTGTAATAACATGCTATAAAAACATAGAAAGCCAGGAAAAAATGGTTTTAACTAAAGTGGTTGAGCCTTGAAAAGAGACACCTTGCACATTCACATCTGGACTGAAAGGAGAACATTAAATCTGTCATTAATGATTTAATTGACTGGATTTTTTTCTAAAAGGTAAAGGAAAGCATTAAAATGGAGTATGAGGCACTCAAATTACCTTCCAATACAACCAGGAGCAGTATCTCATTAAAATGTTTGGGTTTTCTGATGCCATTAATGAGAAGTGATTCTCTGTGGCTGTTTAGCTTTTGAAAATGTGGCGAGTGCATCACAGCATGCAGTAGGCCTCCAAGAAGGCCAATGCTGGGCACTGCACAGGTGCTTTTTGTACATTATGGCATTTAATTCCATCCTCAATCTTGCCAGTAAGGTGGGGGATATCGCCATTTCCTGGTTAAGAAAAGTGAAACTTAACAGAGATTAAATTTACTCATGATTCACATGATTTCAAAACCAGTGCTCTTTCACATTTCGGGTCAGTAAAAGCAGAGAGGGGTTATTATTATTTTTTTTCTGTTTAAAAGTTTCTCATGAATGGACATACCGATTTATTGACAGTTACTTTTAAAAATGTAAAAGATTATGTAGAGCGTAATTGCTGAGCTGTGCCTGAATTCCTGGCTCACAAAATTGTGAGTTAAAATGAAACAGTAGCGGTTTTAAGCCTCTAAACTTTGGGACAGTCTGTAGCACCCAGTAGATAACCATACCCTTTGTTCTTTCTGTTCCTCTTGTCCACATGCATGCTCACCCTTTCTCTACAGTCCACCCCTCCCCGTGGTACACCCTTGGGGAGCTTACCATAGAAGCACGGATTTGGAAAGGCCAGTGACCATGAACAAAGTAAAACATGAACGCATACTAATAAAGGGAGAAAGACAGTGCTCAGGAAGGCCAGGAATGCAATAAGCAGAATATTTAGCCTATGTACCTGGCAGCTGGGCTTGGATAGGGAACTAGGTGCTAGGGCAGTATTTTTGGTCCCTGCTTTGACTCCATTTGAATCCCCTATGGAGCTTTGACATTGTCTACGCTGGGAGACCCTGATTCTGGGAGGAATCGGGGAGACCCCTGACTCCGCGTGTCTATGTGTGTTAAAGGCCTGCCAGGTGGTTCTGTGAGTTACCAGGGTTGTAGGAGCACTGGCCTCCTGCCTGTTGGCTTGTGGAGAAAGAGAATCTTTACTGCCGAGTGCTCTTTCCTGCCCACGGCCTTTTCTGTGCAGGACCTATGCTAGATGCTTGCACGCATCAGACCTTTGATCCTCACAGCAAGTCGGTGAGGGTGCAGGGTAGTAGCCCTGTTTTATAGGTGAGGAAACAGGGATTTCAGAGAACTCAAGTCACTGAGTCTTCCAGTAAGTGAGAAGGACAGGATTTGAACCTGTCTGTTTTCCTTTCAAGTGTCTGACTTTGTTACTGTCTGATTTTCCCTGACCTTCTCCCTCAGTGTAACAAAGGATTTTGGACACTTGATTCTACTTGCATTGTTCGTGACTATTTTTGTAACATGTAGAAGACTCTAGATTTTAGTGTGCATGTTTTCTCTTAAAAGCATACTTACAAATTTATGTCACCACCCCAGCCTAACCTGTTGGATGAACATTAATGTCTCATTACAGAACTAAACACTTCCCTCTGTATTGAGGGGAGACAGACACGCTGGTTTAAAAGGCCTCAGATTAACTAGATGTGACTTTTGATGTTTACCCTGATCATTTTTGAGTGGCTCCTCAAATAGCAAGGCAGCTATTAAAAGTGTTATTCCCATTAGGAATATTGTGCTTTTCATTTCTTTTAGTACTCTGAGAATTGCTAGTGCACGTTTTATAAAAAGAAAAGGATTTTTTTTTTCTGACTTAATTTTGCTGAACTGATGGATATTTGAGTATGTGAAGAGAGAGGAGACAGAGAAGGAAGCCTGCCTATCTCCCTTTCTAGGGCATGAGTGTCTTTCTGTGGTCTGTAAGCCTGGAAAAGAGTGTTTTCCAACAAAAGCACCATTTTATAAATATAGTATTCTTTTCTTGGCAATGCACTGAATGCTGGCCTGTCACCCCAAGTCTTGTGGAGGGCAGTAGGGACAGTGGAAATAAAAGAAATTAGCAGGTGAAGAGAACACTTGTCTATCTAACACTTTTTTGTCATTTGTTAGTACTTGGTTCCTCAAATAGAAGTATGGCCATTGTGAGAGAGTAACTTTTCGCAGGAGTAACTATAGTAGACAGTTTTGCATTTGGGGATTTACCGGGGGTTCTGCTCCTGAACCTTTGAGCTCTAAACACATCAGGGGCTTGCTGGGTACCGAATTATGCGTGTGCCACCCTCAGAGTAGGGACTTGGTGAGTGAAAGCCCCAGGGTATATGTATTTCATTCACTCGGAGCTGTCAGGTCTTATCAACCTTCGTTAGGAATATTTTTCTCCCTGAAAACTCATAAAAATTCACGTTGTAATATCAATGCCTGCAGGATCCTGTGGAATTTTGTTGAGCTGCTTATACCCTTTTCTCCTAATAGAGATATAGAGAATGATACATTCTCCTCATATACACGGGTGCAGATGTGTGCTTGTGAATCTATACAGGAAGCTCATGTATGTGACAAAGTAAGTTTGTTGAGGGGAATGAAATAAACTAATTTTCCCCCCACTGAGTCAATATGACTAAGATATTTCTGTGCATAGTCTCAGAATACTCCATTCTGCGGAATATTTTAAATTTTATTAACCTTGTACATATTTTGCCAGATTCCTATTCAGCATACTTCTTTATTACCATAGTGATGCTCTGTTTACTCATATATCTGGAAAGAAAATAATTTAGTAGATTTAATTAAAAAAATTTATATCAAGGTCACCTTTTTGTTGTTTGAAACAATAGATTTGTAAATTCTTACCAACACTGTATATGTACTTAGCCCTATAAAGAAAAAAGTATTTTTTATATATGTAAATATATATATATAAAATATCTGAAAGTAGGATATATACAAGATATATAGATACAAGATATATAGACTTTATAGGATATATATTATACCAGAATTTTGGTATTTTAAATATAGGTCTTGAATGAAAGACTTAGGTTGCTTTCTTTTTTTTCATGGAGTAAGGAAAATGGTAGTACTTAAAAATAGTTGTTACCTGATGATTATAGTTCATTGTTAGCAAAATATTCTACAGGACACATCATATCCCATTATGCTGAAGGTGAAGGTGAAACCCTGGTATAGTAGAAGGTGGATGCTTGTGTTTTCTTTAGCACTTTCACAACAAAGCAATTATATTGTATTACATGTAAATATTTGTGAGTGGGGAAAATAGATAGAAGTCTACAATACTACTTTCCCTTCACATTAAAACCGTATGAAGTTATGCCTACAAATTAAAAATATTGTAAAAGCTCAGTACAGTTTTAAATTTTCAACAAAGTTCTGTAGTACTTCTTTATTCGTAATAATGAAAAGTATCATTGTGTGAAATTGGTATGGGCACATTATCTCTAATATTTGCTGTTAATAATGGCATTCAACCCTAACTGATGGCTTTTAAAAAAAACAACAAAGTATGGCCTTTAGTAAAACAAAACAATATGTCACATGTCTGTAGAAATGCTGTAGTAGAGAAAAATTTAGCTCTGTGAGCAGTAGTCTCATTTATGGGAATGGTAATTATCTGTAAGTTGAGACTTAACATTTTTGTAGATTTTATGAGAAAATATTTGCTAGTCCTTGTTTTTTACATCTTTTTTTCTCCTACCTCTGTGTCTGTCTATCTTTTCTCCACCTCATATGGGGACAATTCTGTTTTTACAGGTCCTGATTTCTTTTTTTTAATGTCTCACCGGAAGTGATAACTCATTTTGTTAGAATGGTAGGGAGCTCAAAAGTGGAAGATTGTGACTTTAGTTGTGGCTTAATCAGCCCAAGCAGGTGCATTCTAAGTAAAAGAGATACTGTTTTAATGCAAATGTCCCCCCTAATTCAGAGAAAGGGAGACATGTATAGGAAATGACACAGCCGTTAAGTCAGAATTGTTTCTCAATAGATTGGTTTTTTTTTTTCCCCTGAATTCTCTGTGCACCAGCAGCAGTGTCCTGTTAAAGTGAAGAGAGAGATAAATGAAGAGGAGTTGAGGATGACTGTGTTAATTTTTTAAGTATTTCTGAGGGATCAGAAATACTTAAGAAAAATGAAGTCAGAGATTTACATAAATAGGTGGTAGCCTCAGTAGTGTCATGTTCATTTTAGAGTAGAATTTGATTCTGGGGAC